TTACGTCGTGCTACAAAAGTTATTCGAGATCAAAGGTGAAAATTTAAGGTTTTTTGGATTTTTCTCAAAAACGATAAGTAAAAAATCCATAAACCAAAGTTGTAGATCTTAAAATTTTCTACAAAACTAATCTGTATGATTTTTTTCTAAGAGTTACCCGAGACATTCCCGAGATATCGCGATTCTAAATGTCACATTATACATGATATGTACACATTTCCACGCCACCTGTGAGGTAGTGTACTCAGCGCGTTTTTTACCGTGGTTTCCCCTGTATACCTACTCCACTAACTGTCATGACAATTTTAGGATAATTAAAGGGAACATAATTTAAGGGTTATACTCTATTATAACCAACGGAGATATACATCCATCAAAAATAATCGACGTAAGATGCCTCAACTCAGCAGATGTAAGTAGCGACCACAGTCTAGTATTATGTAAAATAAGAATAATCCTAAAATACTTCCCACTCAAAAGAGCGGCGCCAAGACAAACAAAAATCAAAGTCGAAGGACTAAATACGGAATCCACGGAATACTTATACAGGAAAAAATATCAGAGAAGATCGCTGTGAATGAAATATTAGAAAATGATAACATCGAGGAAAGCTGGGAAAAACTCAAAAATAACATAATTAACGCAGCAACAGAATCACTTGGAGAGAGGAAAGTAACAAACACTAACATATCAAAAAAGAAAACACCATGGTTTAAAGAGGAAGTGAAGACAAAATGTGAAGAAAATAAGAAAGCCTTTTTACAATACAGAACACAACAAACACAACAGGCATACAACCACTATAAACAAATCAGAAATGAAACAAATACTTTAGTTACACAAATAAAAAAACAACACTGGCAGAGTTTCTCAAAACAGATGGAACACGACTTCTACGGAACACAAAAAGAAATATGGAGAATGATCAGAGGACAAAAGAAACATGGTTAGACTACTTTCGATCCCTATTTGCTAAAGGTGGCGATAATGAACCACCAACACCAGAAGTGACGGCAAACGAAGGAATATATATTGAGGAGAAAGAGGTAGCATTAAGGAAATTAAAAAATAGAAAATCACCAGGAGAGGATAGAATACCGAACGAACTCTAGAGTACGAAGGACCAGATCTAACCAACCAACTATTAAAATTAATCCAAAAAATAATAGAACAAAACAAATTCCTTAAGAATGGAAATAAAGCATCCTAATACCTCTACCGGAAAATTACAGAGGAAATTAATTTATTAAATTTAACACTAAATTTAACATCCAAAGTGATAACAAATAAATTGAATATAATGATAACACTAGCAGAAGAACAACAAGGTTTTAGGTCGGGAATTTCCTGCACCGACGCTATATTTATAATGAGGTAAGTGCAAGAGAAATCATTAGAATATAACAAACCGGCATGTCTATTTGGCGAAACAAACTGTCAATTTCTAGACTCCCTCGTCAGACTCTTTACTTTAACAATATTTATAACAGCGGGAGTTTCCTGAAGACTGGCTAGAGTCAACTTTTGTTGCCATACCGAAAAAACCAAAAGCAAAGTCTTGTGATCAACATCGGATGATAAGTCTAATTAACCACATTTCGAAGGCATACATCAAGGTTATTTTCAACAGAATAAGCAAAAAATGTGAGGATAACATTGGAGATTCGCAGTTTGGGTTTCGGAATTCTCTTGGTACAAGGGAAGCACTTTTTAGTCTACAGGTACTCATCCAGCGCTGCAGAGATATGAACAAAGACGTGTACATATGCTTTATAGACTACGCAAAAGCATTCGATAACGTAAAGCACGAAAAGATAATTAAAGTTCTCCATAAGATCGGAGTCGACTACAGAGACATTCGAACAATAGCGAGTCTCTATTGGGGTCAAACAGCTAAAGTGAAAGTAGGATCTACATTGACCAATAAAATTGAGATCAAGAAAGGGGTACGACAGGGCTGTATATTGTCTCCTATTCTCTTTAACATATACTCAGAAGAAGTATTTAAGACAGCCCTGGAGGAAAGCACAGAAGGCATAAAGATAAATTATGGAGAAATAATTAATAACATAAGGTATGCTGATGACACTGTGATTCTAGCAAGTAGCATGGAGGAACTGAGTTGCCTAATGAGTAAGATACAAAAAACAAGTGCACAATACGGACTCAGACTAAATATCACAAAAACCAAATGGATGTTAGTAAGCAAAACCCAACAAGCACCATAGTAACTGATATTAGACAATGAAAGAATTGAACACGTGGATTCGTACATCTACTTGGGAACAACAGTTAACTCAAATTGGAATCAAGGGAAGGAAATACGTATAAGAGTAGAAAAGGCAATAGCATCGTTCACTAGCATTACGCAAATTTTCACCTCTAAAAGCCTCACCCTACCTCTCAAAATTCGACTTCTGAAATGTTATGTGTTCCCGGTTTTGTTATATGGAATGGAGGCGTGGACAATGAGGCGTCGAAATGTGGGCTTACCGACGTATATTACGTATATCCTGGACTGAGCACGTGACCAACGAAGAGGTACTACGCCGGATAGGTAAAGAGAGTGAGGTAGGAATAAGTATAAAGAAAAGAAAGTTGGAATACGTGGGTCACGTTATGAGACATAATAAATATAGAGTACTATAGCTGATCGTTCAAGGGATAATAGACAGCAGAAGGGGTCCAGGGAGGAGAAGACACTGGTGGCTCCAAAACTTGCGGCAATGGTTCGGATTGTCATCTGCTGAACTATTCAGATCTGCCGTAAACAAAGTCAGAATAACCATATTGATTGCCAACGTTCGGAACGGACAAGGCACATGAAGAAGAAGGCATGTCTATGTTTCGTGGATTTTATAAAGGCATTTGACCGGGTCAAATTAAACGTTATCCACTTACTGTACGCAAGAGAAATACCTCTAGGAATAATCAAAACGATCGAAAATATCTACCAAAACAATACAATAAAAGTAAAAGTAACAGAAGAACTATCCGACCCTATTGAAGCTGGCAATGGGCTAACACAGGGAGATTCATTGAGTTCTCTATTATGGATGAAACAATAGAACAAGTAAGAACTAGAAAAGGATACCAAATGGGAAAAAAAGAACTTAAAATAATCTGCTATGCAGACGACGCAATACTACTCTCTCAAATTGAAGATGATTTACAACGTATGCTGCACCAATTTAATATAAATATAAATTTAACAATGTAATTTCCCCAAAAAAAGACAAAATGCATGGTTAAAACAACAAATTTACTAAGATGTAAATTGGAGCTGGAAGGTCAGATAATAGAACAAGTGATGTATCAGGTTATCTAGCTAGGGAAAGCTCTAAACCGAAGTGGAAGGTCAAGTGAATAGAGCAAACAGAGCCGCAGGCTGCCTAAATGAAACAATAAGGAGGAATAAAAATATCGGGAAAGAAACGAAAGGCAGAATTTACAAAAGAGTCATCAAACCAATAATGACATACGCGGCAGAAACAAGACCTGATACAGAGAGGACAAAAAGGATGTTAGAAACAGCAGAGATGAAAACACTTAGAAAAGTGAATGGTAAGACACTATGGGACAGAGCTAGAAGTACAGTATGACGTAAATGCAAGGTGGAGAACATCAAGAACTGGGTAAGAAATAGAAGAGTAGAATGGAACGATCATATAAGCCGAATGAAAACAAATAGAGAATTAAAGACGGCAAGAGACGGTTCCCCAATAGGAAGACCATTAGTAGGAAGACCACGAAAACGATGGAACGACAACTTACTGGAGGTAATGTGCAATTTGAAAAACAGACAGAGTCATGTCTATATAAAAAAAAATAAGAAGATGATGATGATTTAAGGGAACAACACCCGTCAAGTTCTAGATATGACCTTATTATTGATCTTCTTCTTCGCGTGCCATATCAGGATTATCCGATGTTGGCGATCACCATTGCGAAAGCTTTTCGATCTTCTGCAATATGGAATAATTGTCCTGCATTTAATATCGGAGTCTTATTATTGATATTGATTATTAATATTGCTATTGATTCTTGGGTTAACTATTGGTTGGATTTCTTTCGATATTTTACCAGACCAGACCAGACTTGTCTTAAAATATCTTGGTAATTATCAATAAAACAAATAAATGGAAGCGTCTTCCAGCGTCTCTGTAATAATAAAATTCTACTTGCCATACTTCAATTTCAATCGTATTTTTATAGTTCTGTCGCCTAAAGCCTACATCTTAACAAATATTCCTCAATTCATCCAACGAAAACTAGCAATCGTCACTCGTTTGAAGAAATGAAGAACTTCATCTTGTGGATGGCCAATTTTACCACCAGTATTAGGTTTTAAGAAAGATTTGTAACAACTGTCATGGTATTTTGCATCAGCAACGACTAAATCATAGGTACTCCAAATTATTACGTTCAAGAATAGCCTTTGAAACATCATCAAAACGATCTTTAGCTAATTTCAACAGAGATTCTTTGAATGTAGTGTAGTCACGTTACAAGTTTTTTTTTCGAAGATGATGTGCTTTCTTTTTCTCAGTTTCTTCATTCACTTTATTGCCACAAAATAAACAGTATTTTTTAAAACAAAAATTTGATTCACTTACTCGCGTTCTTCATGGTTTAAAAACATAAAGGATTGGACAAACCTCGATGCCCATGCACTCTTTAGAGCCACACAAGATCGAGAGGAGTATGCCAGAATTGTCGTCAACATCTACTAATTGGATAGGGCACCATAAGAAGAAGACTTGCGTTCTAGCACGAGGTGGATTTATTCTTGAAGTACTAACTAGAATGTTCCTCCTCACGTTGTCTTTTCAATGCGGCGATTGAAGTTTTCCGGATATATGATTTTCTGCAATCCACGTGTATTGTAACGAATTTTTGAGTTTTCGTATTATTCGTTTACTAAGTAATCTATCTTCATCCACCGACTTGACAAATTGATAATCTAAATAAAAAATATGATTTACGCAAAATTAACTCACCAGCGATGGCCACAGCACTGAACCATGTGAAGGGGAAAACGGATCCCTGCGGTTTGCCCATACCAACACTTGCTCTACCATAAATAGATGGAATAACCCATCTTTATGTGGACAAATCCATTCACGTCTCTGCCATTCAACGTCGTCATATTCAACTAGAATCTGAAATAATAAAAGAAATCAATTTAAGTATAATTTTATCTAGATTTAGATAGATATAATTTATTAAGAATATCTAACAACATACAAGCACATTTTTTAAAAATCAAATATATGTAGTAACGATTTTTTTGTCATTCAACTTTAATTGGTAATGATAGAAAAATCATAATAATTATTCTTTGTTTTAGATAAATGCCCGCATAGTTTGTTTTCCCTTTGGTCTTGATTGTCGCAGGCCATGATTATTTAGTGTATCCATCTGGCATCGATTATTTCCATCTATCTGCATAAAACTAGCGCGATGGAGCTTTTAATAATAGAACTTCCACTGCAGCCTGTTCAATTGTACCTCCGGTTCCTTATCGCTGTGGATACTCACGTGTAGTCCTCAGTCGGCTCAATATTGGCTCACATGTAGTCCTCAATATTTCGAGCTGAGGATTGTCCAACACTTCACTTTAAGTCCTTTATTTTGTTTACCAAGATAAGCTTTAGATCCTCACTTGTGGTTGTTGGAAGGTACACCAACACAAATTTGAATTTGGAGACATCTTCAACCTTAATAACTCTTCATTCTGTTTGTTTTAAAAAAGTACTTTGTGGTGTTAAAGAACTTTTCAGTATGTGTCTATAAAACATGGTATGGACTGGTAACTCTTCCTTAATCTTCAGGACATCATTCTTGTTTAAAGTAGTTGGTTAGTTTTTGGATCCTTCTTAGAGTTTTTATATTTATTGATTTAGTCCATTCTGATGAAACAAATATGGGGCAATACGGTTCCGTATCTCCTTTATTTTCTTATTATTCTTCTTCTTCTTCTTCTTCTTCATACATTTACCAATTTTCGTTTTCAATATACGCGGTTCAGCGCCGCTCGTCTTTAATTTCTACGATCAGCAAATTATGCGCATCCACTTCTGCTTTGCTCCCGAATCTATTACGTGGCCTTTCTTTTGATTCTCTACACTGCATTTTACCATCTGAAGTTCTTTTCTGCAGTCTGTTATCATCCATTCTCACCATATGACCAGCACAGCTAAGTCTCTGGACTCCAGAGGAATCTAGCGAATTTTACAGAACTGATCCCTATATACAGAACTCTTAATGTGGGTCCAATGTTTAGGATGAACGTAGAAGTGGTCTGATACCTCAAGTATACCGTTTGAGACATTTTCTTTTAGACACGCATTCCATCATCTATGTTAATGCTTGTCTAATGCGTTAAAACATTGAAAGCCTGATCATGTAAACAACACGACAGAAATAAATAAAATATCAACTCTTTAATAGCTAGAATTACTATTTTCAAAAGCGGTAGTTTTTTTTACATACACTATGTTGACTTTATTATTAACTATTAAAAGACGAAAACTTGAGTACTTGGGACATGTGATGAGAGGGCAAAAATACGCATTATTACAACTTATTATGTAGGGCAAAATCCGAGGAAAGCGAAATGTGGGAAGAAGAAGAATATCCTGGCTTAAGAACTTAAGGGAATGGTTTGAATGCAGTAGTGCAGAACTTTTTAGAGCGGCAGTCAACAGAATCCGCATAGCCATGATGATTTCCAACCTTCGATAGAAGATGGAACTTAAAGAAGAAGAAGATGTTGACTTAGTTGAGTTCAATTATTAGGAATGAAGAGTTATTCTCTTCTGTTGTAACCTTACTAATAAAGAGATCTCTACGAAATAGGTTAAAATAAAATTATTCAAAGGGTTATTGGCGAGAGATAATTAATTTATTGGTACAGATTCGATAAAAACATGCAGCTAATGATATAAAAAATTATTTAAGAGCAGTTTGAAGTTTTCTGGTTACGATTTTAAGATCGGAAACTGACTCCAAGAAACTTCATTGTGCCATCCCCAGCTTAAGTTTTTTCAGTTACAAAACGAATCTTCACGTTTTACACGAAAATATCAGTTAGTATAAGATGTTAGAAGTTCCTAGAAGTGAACAGTGAACTTGATCTTAATTTATAAAAAAGACCTTTATGCTAATCGATGATGCTCATAATTGAAATACTAATATGGAAGAAACTCCAAAATTTTGTACATGTCTGAATGGCGCTTCCCTTTCTAGTAGCACTGTAGTTTAGTATTGGGCTAACAAAATTTCATGAACCTGACTTACTCATTTGGTGACGTTAATTCACGAACGAAACTGAATTTTCTAACATACGTTCCCATAGCAAGACTAAGTCAAACTAGTTTTTGCATTAATAAAGTAGAGTAGGCACCTATTTATTGTTTTTATTTTCTAACAGCAGTTTTCAATACGGAGTTTCAACAGGAATGGATGACAGAAGAGATTTTACAATTAATGAACAAACAAAGAGAATCTAAAGGAAAAAATGACAAGGACGGAGAATACAAAAGACTAAATAGAATAATTCGAAAAAAAATAACCGAAGCAAAAGAGAAATGGCTGGAAACAAAATGCGTTGAAATAGAGGAACAGCAACAAAGGCACGATTTTTTTAATTTACATAAAAGGTAAAAGAGTTTACATCGACTACCAAGAGAACGACTTTTCACACCATGCTGAACACGGATGAGAAACTGCTAGAATCAACGGATGATAAACTGAAAGAATGGGAAAACTATATTAAAATTCTTTTTCACGGCATACGAGAAGAACCAAGATTGGTAAATAACAACGAAGGGCCAACAATTCTGAAATCTGAAATCATAAATGAAATTAATCATCTCAAAACAAATAAAAGCCCAGGTCCAGACGGAATATACCCAGAAACGCTCAAATTAATCAGCGAAGAAAATATCGAATTATTTCTCCTTTTATTCAATCGCATTTATGATACAGGTAAAATACCCCAAGATTGGCTGGAGTCAATATTCATCCCACTACCAAAAAAGTCAAACCCACAACACTGCAATGAGTTCCGTCTGATAAGCCTTATGAGTCATGCAGTAAAAGTCCTACTAAAAATCGTACATAATCGTATCTATAGAAAGTGCGAAACAATCATCGGAGACGATCAGTTTGGATTCAGAGCCGGCATGGGAACGAGAGAAGCCCTATTCAGTTTACTAGTTCTCGCCCAAAAATGCTACGACCAACAGAAAGATATATTTATATGCTTTATAGACTTCGAAAAAGCATTTGATAGAGTCAGACACGACCTACTATTAGATCGTTTGCAAGAAGTCGGTTTAGATGGAAAAGACATCAAATTCTTAAACAACTTGTACTGGAACCAAAACGCCAGAGTTAGGATCGAAGGTTCCACATCCGCAGAAGTAGAAATTAGGAGGGAACTTAGACAAGGATGTGTTCTGTCGCCTCTGCTGTTTAATCTTTACTCCGAGTTTCTATTTAAAGAAGCATTGGAGGATTCCAAGGATGGAGTCAAGGTGAATGGCGTAAATATCAACAGTATCAGATACGCCGATGATACAGTGTTAATTGAGGATTCCGACTCAGGTCTACAACGACTCATCGACAACACCAACTCGACCTGTGAGCAATTTGGTATGAAAATAAACATTAAAAAAACCAAAGTGATGTCAATCCGAAAAAAACCAACACGTACCTCAACCTTGCACAATAAATGGGCACATCTTAGAACAGGTCAATAGATTTAAGTACCTGGGATGTTGGATTGATAGCAGCCTAAATCCTGATCTAGAAATAAGATCGAGAATAGAACAGGTCAGAAAATTTTTCGAAAAAATAAAAAAACTGCTTTGTGATTCTCGAATAAAACTCGAAATTCGACTACGTTTATCAAAATGCTACGTCTGGTCGACTCTTCTATATGCAGTTGAAACGTGGCCCCTAAAACATCAACCGTAAATAAATTTGAGGCCTTTGAAATGTGGATCTACCGGAGAATACTCAAAATTTCATGGACATCGCATACCTCAAACGAAGAAGTGCTGCATAGAATAGGCAAGGAAAGAGAACTTTTTAACACAGTAAAAGTTAGAAAAACATCATACCTAGGCCACATACTGAGAAATAATAAGTACCAATATGCCCAACTTATGGTGAAAGGAAAAATCGAGGGAAAGAGAGGCCTAGAAAGGAAAAGACTATCGTGGCTCAGAAACATCCGACAATGGACAAAGCTAAATTTTGAACAGCTAATAAGAACAGCTGAAGATAGAGAAGAGTTTAAAATTGTAGTAGCCAACCTCCATTGAGGAGAGGGCACTTTAAGAAGAAGAAGAAGTTTTCAATACTTTATATTGAGTTTAGTATGAAATTAAAATAGCTAATATTTTTTTTTCGGGCATGTGTATTTTTAAAGTTTGTGACAACTCCTAATAGTACAATGACATAGAAGCTCAAAGTTAACCAAGCGAGGCTGGAGTATGGAGATCCAGGTAAAACACTGAACTCTACCAACTGTTCAAACAGGCACCGATCCCAGAATTCGTTAAACTTCAAAGACTTCGATGGGCTGTGCGTGCATGTAGTGAGTGTTTTGAGAATGGAGACCAAACAATTGCCGAAAAGATCCCTATATATTAAACTGCAGGTCGTAAGACCAAATGGAAGGCCACAGAAAAGGTGGTAGGATGCGCAAAATTTTCTAGACGTGACAACCTGGAAAAGATCGGCACGGGTAAAGTTAGAGGTATAGTCTGGAGGAGGCAAGGCTCTATTTGGGCTGTTATCTTACTTCTCTCTCCATTGGAGAGAGAAGTAAGATAAGTGCACAACTTAACACAACTGATATTTTTCCTCACGCGAATCAAAGCCTAGTTTGGACATGCAGAAAAGTGAGAAGATACATTTGTAATCGACACTTTGTGCAAGAATTGCGAACAACAATTTCCTATGAGCCTCAGATATCAAAGCAAAATAAAACAATGAGTATTTTTAAAGAATTTTAATGACATCTAAAATAACTATAAGAACAATTTTCATTTATAGAATAATAATAATATTGGAAGATGGAATTATTTGTTATTATTATTTAAAACGATAAATGTCTGCGCAATGTTTAACCTAAGAAACACTCGTAGGAAAACTATTTTTTGGCTAGCTGGAAAGTAAACTAAGATTTGAATGCAAGAAATTGTATATTACACACCGATTGTGACTAATTGTGAGTAAAAGTCATTTTCTTCTATGCTCGGTCTATATTTTGAAAATAAGCAGTGTTAATTATATCCAATTCGTACCATAGAATATTACAGTAATAATACCTCGACAGTATAACAACAATACAGTAGTATACAGTAGTAAAATCTACTGGCGCAGACAAGATCACCGCAGAAGTTTTAAAAGAGACTGGAGATGTTGGAGTAAATGTTATGCATCATCATCATCATCACCCAGCTCTTTGCGTTCACTGCTGGACATAGGCCTCCCTCATTTTTGTCCATTGTGCTCTGTTTTGAGCACTTTTTATCCAATTTCTTAACATATTTTTGAGATCGTCAGTCCATCGTGTAGGGGGTCTTGCTCTACTTCTTTTGTCTAACCTCGGCCTCCACTCAAGTAATCTCTTCGTTCACCTTTCATCACTGATTTGGGCGACGTGTCCAGCCCAGTTCCATTTCAGTGTGGCAA